CTATATGGTGGAAGCACATGGTAAGCATGATGATGGATTGAAATTCCGCAACAAGCATCAGCTGGAACTCACCATTTTGTCCATCAAATCCAGTTCTACTCATCAGAATTACCGTGGCCATGTCCCATTTGCTCACCAGTATGTATTTCTTGATTGGAACAACCATCATATTGGCCCTATATGGTGGAAGCACATGGTAAGCATGATGATGGATCAAAATTCGACAACAAGCATCAGTTGGAACTCACCATTTTGTCCATCAAATCCAGGTCTACTCATCAGCATTGCCTTGACCATGTCCCAATTGCTCACCGGTATGTATTCATTGACTGGAACAGTCATTATATTGAACCGATATAGTGAAAGCACATGGTAAGCATGATGATGGATCAAAATTCTGCAACAAGCATCAGCTGGAACTCACCATTTTGTCCATCAAATCCAGTTCTACTCATCAGAATTACCGTGGCCATGTCCCATTTGCTCACCAGTATGTATTTCTTGATTGGAACAACCATCATATTGGCCCTATATGGTGGAAGCACATGGTAAGCATGATGATGGATCAAAATTCGACAACAAGCATCAGTTGGAACTCACCATTTTGTCCATCAAATCCAGGTCTACTCATCAGCATTGCCTTGACCATGTCCCAATTGCTCACCGGTATGTATTCATTGACTGGAACAGTCATTATATTGAACCGATATAGTGAAAGCACATGGTAAGCATGATGATGGATCAAAATTCTGCAACAAGCATCAGCTGGAACTCATCATTTTGTCCATCAAATCCAGTTCTACTCCTCAGAATTGCCTCGCCCCTGTCCCAATTGCTCACCAGTATGTATTTCTTGATTGTAACAATCATCATATTGGACCTACATGGTGGAAGCACATGGTAAGCATGATGATGGATCAAAATTCCACAGCAAGCATGAGTTGGAACCCACCAACTTGTCCATCAAATCCAGTTCTACTCATCAGAATTGCCTCCGCCATGTCCCAAGCA